TAAAAATAAAAAGTTTTTTTTTTGATTTAAAGTTAACTTCAAAAGCAAAAAAAAAAACCTCGAGTGTATGCCTGGTTTGTAAAACAATTTTTTACTTCTTTCTTCTTTTTTCCTTTTTTTTTTTAAAAATGTTGTCTATACCGGTTTGCCGTCTGAAATAAATCTGAAATAGCAAAAAATTTACCACAACAAAAAACTTACCTGTCAACCAATCTTTGAATGGAATAACATTTGTTCAACAGCAGATAAAGTTAACTTTAAATCAATTAAACTTTCAAATATTTTTAACGCTAAAATTATCAAAAACAATAGGTAACTGATTCAAAGTACAGTTCGATTCAGAACTGCTCCCCTCAACAACCTTAAACATCAAATTGTTCTTTCCTTTTTTCCCTTCATTCTTCAACTTAAATATTTATCAAAATTAAATGACACGTAGCACACAATTTTATCACTCTTCTTCCTTCATTCAACATCTCAGTTTTTTCATTTAACATCGAACATTGTAACTATTGCGGTAATCTTGTTTAGCGATTGAGAATACCCGATCCAAAGCTGAATCGAGTATTCTCAGCCGCTAAACAATACTCTCAGTTTTGCTGAAAAAAATTCTTGAAAATGATGGCATGAAATTCACTCTCAACTCTTTTTCCCTCCCCTTCGCGCTCTGAAAAACAAAGATGTTGTTACCATTTTCTCTAATTCTTGTTTTGCCTACAATTCCATTCTAAACTTTTGCAGTCAGCAAAAGTTTAGAATGGAATTGTAGGCAAAACAAGAATTTGACAATAACTGTATGCTCAAATAATGTACATAACAAATATTTTGTAAAGTTTGTTTACTGAAATGTCGAAAGACAGACTAAATGAATTGTGAAGCACGGCAAAGCGGAAAATTTGAAAAAGTCATTTGATGCCTTTTTGTAATGAACAAAAAAAGACTTCATTATTTTCCAGTTATCCAAACATCCCACTTTCATCTCTGGCATACTGATAAGACAAATCATTTCCTGATTTTCCTTTTTTTAGTTTCTCTACTTCAGTAGTTTCAGTATGCCGAAGCTTTAAACAATGCTGGAGATGCAATGAAAGACGTTCTGACCGTTCTGGAAGATCCTGGTTTTGAAACCATGGAAGGATGGAAGAAAAAAAAGGAAAACAAAGAAGATGTAGTCTACTCTAAAAGATTCCCATTTGGAAAAGTTTTTACTTTAAGGGTGAGTGATATCAGAGCATTAGTCTTCAAAATCTGTTATTATTGCTATAGCGGTAGAAGCATACTAAAACAAGCGTAAATTGATGGTATAAATTATTTTATATTTTTATTTTTTTCCCCTATATTTTACAATTTCATCTATAAGAGTTACGACAAACAAATGTGCAAACGATGAAAAAGTTACGCTTCAGAAACATTTGCAAAACAAGCTAACTTTCAGCACCACAAAAAAAATTGATGACCGCCTGTACACTTCAACCTGGCCTCTTACCTTACTTTAAAAAAAGTGCATTAACGTGGAAAACTCGATCTTCGCAATGAAATGTTGCGGCTCCCTTATGAATTTGAACAAGAGCGCTGTTCTATTTTCTAAATCAAATAAGGAGCTCCTAATTAAAATAAAAGTTACACTTTAATGTAATCCTGAACTTTTGCTGATAAGCCTATTGTTTGTGACGAGTCCCACTTACCACTAAATAATATGGACAATGATCTCTTGAAAAAATTAGGTAAAATATTGCTAATAATTTTTCCATAGCATTCTTATATTATCACAGAAAAGTTAAGATTTTCAACAGCATAAACAGATTTCTTCTTGAAGAACCAGATAATACAGTTAACTTTTCACCTCTTACTACGTAAGCCTTCGTACGCTTCTGTCCTTTACAAAACTCGTCATGTCTTCTGTCACAAATCCAAAGTGGCCAAAAGGTAAAATTTTATTACCAAAACAACAGGTGCAAACTAATTCATATACAACATTTGCTTCTTCATTTCTGTTACTACTCACAAATGGAATGAAGGCACTAAGAAATATAGCTAAAGAAAATTTTCCGATGTTCTTCAGTGTATGCCAACTAAACTTCTTCACATCCAGAAGCACCATTTTCTACGCTAGTCATACTTCTAGAACTGGAAACATTACATAACGTTGCTCCGAAAGTCGTTTTATTACAAAAAGTTCATGTTGAAGCTTAAAACAGAATATTTAAACAGCAGTGATAAATAAGTTATGCGAAAGAATTTGGACTGTTTTCATCTGCTTGATAAAAGGTAGCCAAGAATAAGTATTATTTGATAAGTAATGTCTTCTCTTGCTATTCAAAATACTGCTTCTTGAAATATAAACAAATACAAAAAATAAAATCACTCAAATAAGGCGTGTCACAAATTCAGATTTAAATTTAGTTTAAAATTTCAAAAATCTTTAGAGATAAAGAATAAAAATTATAGATAACGCTAGACGCACCACGTGAACAAATCTTCTCCGAACATTGGGATAACTTTGTGGAAACGGCAAATCTTAACAAAAATACTTCATTAGCTGAAAAAATTGCAATTCTCAGTCCCCATGCTGAAGTCGTACATGTAAGTTGTTTTCAAATATCAGTTATTTCTTCGGTTCCGCTCCCTTCTCATAATCAAAACCAGATACCTCCTTGTTCCGTAAAAACAATGTTCGTTTACCTGCATCCTTCCAAACTTCTGGATCCTAAAACCTCGAGTTTTCTTCCCAGTTTGCCGTCATCCATTTCTATTTCCACTCACTTTACAATCTCTTCCCAAACAGCTTACTTCAACGCCCGTTAACATTTCAATAACTTTTCGAGTTAAAATACAAAATTATCTTTTGGTAAGATAATCTGACTGCAAAGCAAAGACAACATATCCCTCTTACCTTATTCCTCCTTAAAGTAACTAGATTCAAAGGGAACTTTTAAATCCTTAGCTCTACAATTATCTTCTGAACTAGCCTATCAACTCAATATTAAGAATAGTTGCAGAATCAGAATCGGAAAATAACCTTGGAAAAACGACAGCTTTTTGTTGCCAGCTGAGAATATCCAACTTTTTGAGTTAACAGAATGATCCTATATATGGTTAAGAGCACAAAATTATCCCCGAAATTTCTTCTTGAGTTTTCATCAATAAATGATTCTATTTTGCAGTATGCCATGAAAGATTCCGGATTAGTAAAAGGCCGCGACTTTGTAACTAGTAGAATGTATCGACGAGTAGACGACGTTGTATTAGAAGCAGCTAGAAGCTTTGAAACAAAAGAAATTGAACGATATAAAAAGAAGACGAGGTTTGTTCAAACTGTTATGCTTGATTATGATCTTTCCCATCTTTAACAATACAACACACTTAGAGATACCAGCATTGACGTACTATAGATAAATTATTGCTGAGCATTAAGACATTTTAAGAGCATCTTATTGTCCTTTTTCTGGTAGCTCTATGACCAATAACGTGACAGCCTCAATAAGAAGATCCTAAAGAAACCTACATACTTCATTATCTAAAGTTTATTAAATTACCATAGCATTGATAAACGACAGTTTAATGCAGTAGATTTTCAGAGGGAAACTAATCCTTGGCGGTGGACGTTTTCGTGTGCATCCTGAAAACCCACAACAAACCATTGTTGACTACATGATAAGCTTAGATTTCAATGGACCAGATCTGACAAAGCCAATTGTTGAATCAACAATATCAAAATTCATCCTGCAAGACGCACAGTGGGCCAAAGAACATATCGAGAAAAAAAAGCAAGAATCATGATTCTCGTCTTAATGTTCTTCCTTAACCGTTTTTTTTTCTGTTCCTGTTTTTTTTTTTTAAACATTACTAGCCCACAAAGTATAAGTGACAATGAAAACTGATTCTTTTCTTTCTTCTTCTGAAACATCCACCTGATACTTCTACAATGTAACGAAACGACCGCAACTACTTATGATCCCCAACCTCTCTCCTATCCCCTGCACTAAAACATCTCTACGGCAACCCAACCTTAGACATAAATCTTTTCTTTTCTTATAATTCAACGTTAAGATACACATGTTTTTTTCTTTTTTTTAAACAGCAACCACTGTTACTTCTGCTACTAAAAAATGACTAAGAGTTGCACAGAATTCATACAGTAATCAAACTATTTATTGCAGTACATATCGCAATTTATTGTTGAAATATAACACAAAAGAAATTACAAAAAAAAAAAAAAAAAAAAAAAAAAAAA